CAGATTTCTACGGATAGCAAGCTATGAAATAGCACGCAGGAATATCTCTATTGAGTATTGACGATGGCAACAGAATCATACCGCTACTTCATTTTTAAAATCCAATATTACCCACAAGCAAGCAAATAGACAATCAACTATCAAGAAAAGCCCAAACTTTAGTATATCAAGTTTAAAAGGATAACGTTGAGGTTGACAAGAAGGCAAGTTAAATATATGTTGAAGAAAAACCAGATTGAAGAAATCCAGATTACATGGTATTATTACATCGTTTAAATAAAAGATCAAATTTCTGCATAATGATATTAACAGGGTTTGCATGAAAACCATTTGATTGGTACAGAAATCAAATTGCAGTAAAAGATGAGAACTATTCTCAGTTCTCACCAGTTGCAATCAAATCCAACATATATTTCTCAGAGGGAATAAGGAAAGCGATTGGAAGCTGATGTCTTCAATGACAACCAAAAAAAGAAAGAATCTGAAAACAGAATAAATCTCGTACCTTATAAGATTATTCTTTCTTATGTATTTGTGCTAAAAATTTGAAGATATTGTCCAGAAAAATGTGGGAAAAAAGAGCATGAGACTATTTAATGTTGGAGATGGTGAGAGATGTTTGTTGGAGTCGATCTCTCTAGTCTGTGCGGTGGTAGAGGAAGAAAGGAGATCAGGGCTTTTGTGCCTAATGTCTCTTTCTGTCTAGGTGAGTGAAATTGAAATTAAAAAACACTAGCAAATGTGTTTTTGTTCTATGGGAACATCCAGAACGTGAGAAAAGTTCCCATGGAACAATACCAAACGGGGGCCGAAGTTGCGAGATCAGGCAAAGGCATCTTCATTTCTTAGAGGAAGTACATCCTAGATCTTTTGCAGACATTAGTAAGCTTAGAGTCAAGCATGTAGGTACACCAATTGATAGTAATCACAAACTGGTAAAGAAGGTGGTGAACCTCTCTCTTAATGTAAGGCAGTTCTAGAGGCTTATTTGGAGATTGTTGCACTTGTCCATGTCTAGACCCGACATTGCTTATGCTATTGGGGTGTTGAGCCAGTATATGCATGTCCCTAGGACTACTCATCTTGCTGCTGTAGAGCATGTTCTGAAGTACTTAAAAAGGTTTCCTAGTAAAGGTATCCTCTTTTCCAAGCATGGCCACTTGAAAGTAGAAGTCTTCACAGATGTAGATTGGGTTGGATCAGTTGATGATAGGAGATTTACTACATGTTATTGCACATTCGTTGGAGGAAATTTGGTAACCTAGGGAAGCAAGAAACAAACAATGGTTGCTAGGTCAAGTGTGGAAGCAAAATATAGGGCCATGGCACATGGAGTTGCAGAAATTTTGTGGTTAAAGAATATGTTGAAGGAGTTGGGAGTTGAAATTCATAGCTCAATGTCATTGTACTGTGACAACCTGGCAACAATCAATATACCAACAATCCTGTGATGCATGAAAGAATAAAACATATTGAAGTTGACAAGCATTTCATCTGTGAGAAGCTTGAATCTGGTGAAGTATGTATCCCTTATGTAAATCCTATGCATCAGTTGGGTGACATCTTCACTAATGGTGTTTCAGGTACCCGACATATGGATATCTTTACCTAGTTTGGAATGATAGATATATACAGCCCAACTTGAGGGGGAGTGTTGTTAGGAATGCTATTGGACCTGTTATTGGACTGTAAGTGGGCTGTTAGCGGGCCCGTTTATATGTTTACCTCTGTTAAGCTGTAATCAGGGGTATTCTTGTAATAACCCTGTTAGAGTCGACAATCCAGGGTATTTAAGTCATTCCATAGTTTTACTTTAAGTTGTTTTGTCTATTGTGTCTGAGACTGAATAGTGTCCCATACATAAAGAGGGGCATAAAGGTCTTTGTACTTGTATATATATATATATATATACATTAATTCTGGTCAGCGGGAGGGTGATTTCTCTCTTCTGAAGACCAGCTGAACTATCTCTTCCTCTTTCCCTCTCTTTCTTTCTCTCTTTCTCTCTTCCTCTCTTCTTCCTCCCTTCTTCTCTCTCTTTCCTTTTATTTCAGGAAGTAAATCAAGTGTGATCGAATAACTAATAATCCCCTTTTATTTGAACACCCTAATATATAAGCCAAGTGGGATGCCGCCCCTACTATCTTTTTTGGCAAACTTTCTCTGTGCCATTTATCTCTTTTCTTCTTCTTCTTCCATTCTAGATTCACAATTCAGAAGAGTTCCTTGAGAGTTTGATGACCCATAGCAGCAGTATGTCCAATTAGTCATGGTAGTAGGAGTGGCAGCAGCTGGCTTTTACAATACAAATCCTGTATTATTTGTTGCTTGTCTTTGTATTGATTCTTGGGATGCAGATTCCTTGAGTCAAAGAACCAGGTAATGTTCGATTTGCTCTTCTGGTGACAAAGTAGAGAATTAGGTTTCAATTTTATTGATTTAAATCACATGGACTGTATAAATTGTAAGATTCAAGGATTAAATCATAGGATTCAAACGGTTATCATAATATTTTTGTAGAAAAGGATTCAGACACAATTTGAATTGAAACCCTTGGGGTTCACAAATTGTAAGATTTTGACAATTATGGAGCCAATATTTTAATTTTAGGCTCTTTTGTATATTAGGCTTATATAAGCATTCTCTTGGTTTGAGATAGGGTTGAAAAGTTCAAGGAGAGGTAAGCTATTCTAATAGTCTTGTATTGCTTGGATTTCTTGTAGTGGATTAGCCCCTCCTCCTGTGGGTATAGACATTGTGGTTAGGTCAACCCACATGAATCTTGCGTATGCTGTTTAGCTATTTATTTTCTTTATTTTTCTTGTTTAACTTCTTTTCTGCTGCAGATTGACAAAAGAACCAAGACATTTAAGGCTTGTTTAGAAGGGCTGAGCCCCAATACAAGTCAGCTCTACCTACACCACTCCTCCCCAAGGACTAGGCTAGCTGCTGCTCATTGTCCAATCTCTTAATCTTTTGGAACAAGATGTTTCCTTTGGACAATATGGATGTAGTCTCCTGAATAATGACTAACATATAAGATACATTGAATATATTGAACTGTCTGTTTTGGCTAGCCTGTGCCTCACCTAGTCTGTTTGGCTTTGGGTGCAGGACCTTGTTTTCCTATAACAACATGCTCTTAGTTACAATCAAGTTTAGTTGTCAATGATTGAACTCTTTTGAGATTCAAGTAATTAGTGCCTTTGATGATATGGTTGTCTGTTTCTTTCCAAAGTCTCCAGCACAGTGCAAAGGGAGGCATCTTTCATGAAATCCCGCCTTGAGCTAGAGTGCATGAGGTTACTATCCTGATCAAGTCAAAGAGTTTGGATGGGAAGAGCCAGGATGGTCCAAAGTGGGATCTTATTCTGGTTCATCATCCAAAGGGAGAGTGTGCAAAATGCAGTGGGAACCACCTCTAAGAGATCTTATAAAATTAAACTTTGATGGGAGCAACATTGGAAATCCTGGCCCTTCAGGGGTGGGAGGGGTCTTTAGAGATGTGAATGGATTGATTTTGGCACTGTTTCCAGGTCCCATTGGTTGTGGGAATTCAATAAGATCTTAGTTGCTAGCAGTGCCACAAGGATTGAGACTGGCAAGACAAATGAATTTGAAAGGTATTGGAGCTGCAGGGAATTCTAAGGTGGTGGTCATCTGGTTCCTGCTTTATTGACAATAACAAGGAAACGTGGCAAACTAGCAATATAGAAAAGAAATCAAGGAGATAAACTGGCTGGTGAGGGATTCAGTTGTTACTTACAGATGGATGTGAAGATCAGAAAATGTAATAGCTGATGGTTTGGATAAACTAGGGGTGAACAGGGAGTGCATGTTTTGGGAAAAGTTGTAACCATTTATAAATTTGGGATAGGAGAATATGAACTATTTGTGAGGAGGTTAAGCGTTGTATTTTCAAGGGGTTAGGGGGTGTTCTGGACCAAGAGACAAACCAGTGGTACATAATTTATTCTTATTTTATAATGTTTCTGTTACTCATCCAAAAAAAGGGACCAGATTGTTGTTAGACCTTACAATGGAAAAAAAACGGAAATATATTATTGAAAACATTATACTGATAAAAAATAGGGTCGTTTACAAAAACACCCTATAGTTTTACATATTTATGAAAACCTACCCTATATTATGCATTTTACTAAAAGACCCCCTATATGTTGCAACCAAATTACTTAGTTGACTTTCTGTTAATTCGTATTGCCTTCTGGAAATGGTCAGGTGACCACTAAGCAAAGCAGAAAATATTTAAAGGCATGGATCCATGGCTGTTATTCCAAAAGTACCCCTAGCACTTCAAGCTTTTAGAAAGACCTCCCCCCCTGTCCCCCAACAAAACCTGTTTGGAGAAGACAATGAGTGCATGTAATTGGCTTCACGTTTCAGGTAGGTGCCATTTTCTGAACTCCATATTCTCTGATAATAATAGATTTAAAATGTAAATAATGAATACTGAGCTTAAGACGAAGAATAGACATTATTTATGGTGATTTTTCCTTCATGTGATCCATGTTTACATGCTATTAGTTGGCTTTCATCAATTAGAATTGTAACCTCATTGTGATGTCTCTTCTTCATCTTTTTGTTGATATGGTAAGAAAGTTTGCCCATGTTTTACCAGGGGCAAGAACAACATTTCCATTTTTATTATCTTTTGATTAAATTTGTATGAAAGGAAGTTAGGGTTAAAATCATCATTGTATTTTAGTAAAATGCAAGCTATAGGGTAGGTTTTAGTAAATACATGAAATTATAGGGTGTATTTTAGTAAATGACCCAAAAATTACTGGAAACATTAAAAAAAAAAATACTGAAATTTTGAACTACAAACAATTAGAAAGTTGATGTTTCCATCTTCTGAACCTAATAAGACCTTTCTAAATGTTTGTACACTGCAGCAAGGCTTTGGGAAGTTGGTCAATTCTACACTTAGAAATGAAAAGTAGTGTATTAACATTTGCCTAGTACTTTTGCTAGTGCAGGTTTGTCTGGCCCCGTGACCTTTGCTATGTGCGTTATTGGCGTCGTAATGATGATGGAAGTTATGGTTAGTGTTTTTTCTATCTTTTTTCTAACTGTTACACTCCTTTTTTCCTTTCAACTCTTGCTTTACCCAGGATTCTTGCTTCTTATTGTGCAGTTGTTCTATTTCGTTCTAGAGAGCATGAGAACTGTAGTCCACAGCCAGGATTTGTTCGGGCCCATGTTGAGAGTATAGTCATTTCCTCTCTGGTTTATACTGAGGATTCATGAATCTAAGAACTGTATAGATCTATTAATTGCTACATTTAATTAATTAAAGCCAATAGTCCTCATGTATTTTGATGTTTTCATCAGGTGGAGGATTCACCATTTCCCCATTAAAACCTCATTGTGGACCTCGAGCAAAAGTGCAGTATCTTATGCAAATTGATCTCAAAGGGTGGGGAGTTGGTTATTTTCGATCATTTCGGAAACATTGCCTCCTCAATATGCTCAATAGTGTAGCTGGTAGGCTCCTATGTCTAAGTTGTACTTATCAATTTGGAGTTTCAATAGACACATGTTTATATTTGTGAAAATTCTTCCATCTTGGCATGTATGCTATAGTAAAACCTTACAATGAACATGTCTTAAGTTGTGAAAAAATGCAGCCCAACTCTCAGAACAAAAATTATAGTCACAAAGTCATACCTGTCCCTGTTCCAAGCCCAATTAGCTAAGCTGTCCACAACTGGGTCTCTCTCTAGATTCCAAAAAATTGACATGTAAATTAGAAATGTCTTCCTTCTCATTAAAAGAATCTAAATCTCTATCGTCCTCTAGCAATCCTTTGGACTCCATCTAATGGTATTTGCTAGGCCCTCCTCAATGGCCAAAGAAGGACATCATAGTCTCAATGCAATCATTATGCTTGTGACCATCAGAAGAGCCACCCCTTAAGCCTTGGTAGAGTTTAATTCCTCTGAGTCTACTAAATGTTGAAATGGTGTGTCCATCTTGATTGTTAAAATACCAACTCTGCTGACTGAAACTGAACCTGGGTTAAAGTGATCTACAATCAGATTGTAGTTTCACCTTTCTACTGAATAAGTTATTGAGGAAGTTGTGAACTTTTTAATGGTTGAAACTGAAATTGCTTTTGAAACAATATATTTGAAAACATGTCAAAATTCAATGGGCTAAATGCAGTAAGCCATTACAAAAAAAAAAAAAAAATTGTAACAATATATTTTGTAATGTTATTTGAATACATTATTTGGCTGATCTTTTAATCCATTGAATTTCAAGTTACATGTCCCTTGAAAGTCATTTGAACTGTCTAATTTCATTTCTGAAACTCCATACAGCCATTTGATCAGTAGCCAGCTGATCACCACCTTAGAGTCGTCTTCAAAGATCAACTTTTCAACTCCCATTTCCTTTGCAAGTATGACTCCCTCTTCATCACACCTCCAATTCTAGAAGGTCCTGGGTTGCCCACACACCATCAAAATTCAGCTTCCATCACCCTCTGCCTGGAGGTACTGTTAAGACCGCTGAAACAGAACAACAGAAGATAGTTAGTCAGTTTTACAAGATTCTCATCGTGATCTTCAAACCCTGACGATCCAAAACGGATGGTCATGGCGTCGGTGAAGTCTGCCCAAGATTGACGAGGATGCCCCCGTCGGTTCCACCGAAACCGTAGGATAGTTTCCCCCTCAAGATGCGTCGAAGCTAGAGCCACCCTGTCTTGCCCAGGTGTGTCTCATGGTAATCAAAATATTGCTTGGCTCTGAGAATCCAGGGAGTCGGGTCGCCGCCTGAGAAGATGGGGAAGTTGATTTTTGCTGCTCTCATTGCCACCGGCCCTGTTCTGCGGCTGTTTTCATTGCTGTGCTCCTCTTGGCTTCCTCTGCTGTTGTTCATTGGCACCTGCTCCAGCCGATTGAGGAGAGCGGTGAAACCTTCCTTCATTTGTTTGAGGTCTGATGACATTTGATGGATCTCTACTTCCATCTGATCTACCCGGGCATCTGCTGACGTTGTCCTTGTGTTGGTCATGCTGGCTCTGATACCAACTTGTTAGGAACCTGCCTAACTCAGGGCTCTTTGAGGGAGCCAACCTCCTGAATTCAATGGTAGGGAAGAGGGAGAAAGAGAGAGAGAGAGGGAATTAATGCCGAAAAGATTCATGCCTTTATTTCCCTTGTGTTTAACTATTTATACTGTTTTACATTCTTTAATTCCTTTCTGTTACAACTGTTGCAAGTGGACAATTAGTTGTGCTGACGTGGCCTTCTCTTGTAAAACTGACCAACTATCTTCTGTTGTTCTGTTTCAGCGGTCTTAACAGGTACCCAATCCATTTTTACTTTTGTTTTACCAGGTGCAGAAGCTGCAATTGCCCTCTAATTCCTGACTTAAGTAGAGATATGAGTTTCTTCCCTCAAGAGCTCTCCTAAATAGAGTCCATATCAGCAATGACCCTTCCATTAAGGATACTGGATGAATCAAATCATGTTCATGACGTAGTTTCATAAGGAACTGCATGGCCTTCCTTTCATTGTTAAGTTTTTGAAATTTCTCAATGAAGGAAGGATCATTAGTATGGTATCTATCATCTCTACTTCAGTCCACAGATAGATGATACACTCTTTCTCAATGAAGGAAGGATCATTAGTATGGTACCTATCATTTCTTGTCTCCTTGAGTGTAATTGAAGATATCATGTTCTAATTGAAAATTTTGGGCTACATTGGTTTGCTGATACACTCTTTCTAATTTTTCCATTATTAACCTCTCATTATTCCAAATCAGTTTAAGTTTCTCATCTGGTTCGACTGTTGTCTCATCAAGGAAACCCCCACAGACTTTTTACTTCAACATAATATTGAAATTGAAACATCCACATACTGTAGTTTGCTCCACCAAAGTGTGAAACCAAAACTGAGATTAAGACAGCAAGTCAGTCTTATCCGAAACAGGGAAGGACATATCATTGCTATGTCCTCAGGACCAATTGGACATGGGGATTCCACAAGGGCTGAACTTTATGCAGTGTTTTATGGACTACAGCGGACAAGGGAGATGAATCTCACTAATTTAGTTATTGAAGGTGACTCTAAACTGGTAATTGGATTGCTATAAAATAGCAAGGAAGCAGTATGGAATTACAGAAATGAGATTAAGCAGATAGAAATGGCTAGTAGGGACCATGAATACAAAGTCACAATGGGTACAGAGATCTGCAAATGGGTTGGATGACACTTTAGCTAAGTAAGGGGTTAACAGGAATCAATTGTATTGGGCCAGTTGTATGGTGATGCTGCAGTAGGTAGTAATTGCTACGCTACCCAAGGGTTCTTTGTAATACTTCTGTTTTATATTAATAAAATGCTTCAGTTACTAATCTGAAAAAAGCCAGTTTATCTGAGCCATAGTATCAAGCAGTAAAGCAAGACAGTGCTGTATACTGAATGAAAATCGACCAAAAGATAGCTTTGATAGATCAGTACTCCCAAACCTGAAGAATAAAGTGTAAACACCCTAGACTCTTAAAGAGATAAATGGGGAAGAGAATCAAAAGTTTTTCCACTGATACGGCAAAAGTCCTAAAAGCAATTCTGTTGGCGTTCAAAATATGGTTTGAAACTTGTTCAAGTAGACCAGCTAAATAAGGTTCTTTTGAACAACCGACCTGAGAGACCCTTTATTACATAAAAACGATAGAGAATCTAGGTCCCCTTGCCCAGATTCCAACAGATAAAGAAGAAACTCTGAAAATACCAGATGCAATGAGCTTTTTTTCACATTTCCAGCAGATCAAAATGTGAGCCAAAACAGCCCTCTAAAACCCAATAAAGAATCCCCAAAATACCTAGAATGATTTTCAAAAAGGTTCCTACCAGATAGAAAGTGCAGCTCCTAAGGAGAAGTATCATTGTATCCTCTCATCTTCAACTTTCAAAAGAAAACTGCAATTATAGAGTCCAGGAAAAGCAGCACTTGCATCTTAATGATGAAGACACAATACTAAAAGAATGAAAATCAATCCAATCAATGGTCATAAATAAAAATCGATCCAATTGAACTTCTCTATCCAAAGAAGAAGAGAAGACACTCAAGAGGTGTATCCGATTGAATACCCCCACCTCTAAAGAGTGCCTGTTATTTACAATATTGCCCTTGAAACAATATATGGTTTACACATTGTTATACAATTAAAAGATATGATACAACCAATCCTATCATACAATTGTATGATATGAATAAAACTAGATATTATGTACAAATCTGTCTACAAAAAGAAGTGGGTGAAGTTTTGCTTTGCTTTTTATTCCTTTTTAGTTGTCAAATCCCACATTTTCTATCTTCTTTTGTTGATACTTTTTCACACTTTGTATACCAAATTATGCCCATTTTTATCTATAATATGTGTCAACAAAAAATGGAAACATGTCAGGGATTTATATCCCAAACATCAAGGATATTTTAAACCAGGGATCTTTATATGAAAAATTCTTTAGATATCTGAACTATGAATAGATTATTTACAAACTGTAATTATCTACTATGGCAGGGCTACGTGAATGGTTTTCTCAAACAGATGAAAGACATACAATTCCAATGATCCCAGTCATGGTAAATATGACCTCTGGTCCTCCCTCAGAAAAGGTTCAGAAAAATCAGGAACCTTCCATTCTTCGATCATTGGATAAGTTACATTCTGTTGGGAGAAATTCTATGATGATAGATGAATATTCTGATGACGATGAAGAATTTCAAATAGCTGAGTCTGAACAAGAGGTTTGTATTCCATTTCTGTTCTCTTGATCCTTTAATGCCTTATTCCTCTATACGAGTTTCTCCACTGTTTCAGGCTGGCTCAACTAGGCAAGAGATTGAACCCAAACAGACAGGTTGGTGATGACTACATTGTGTTTATTGTATGTTCATTATAATTTTATCCTTTTATCATCCAAATGTAGTGAATTTCTAATATAACATCTTTCAGAAACTGAAGCTGATAAGGAACCAGCTGAACAAATTGATATGTCCTGTTTTTCTGGCAATCTACGAAGGAATGACAATGATAATGGCCGTGACTGTTGGAGAATACCTGACAGCAACCTCTTCAAAGTCCGGAGCAAGAATTTTTGTTTCGACAAAACAAAGGTTATGCTGATTTCTTGTTGTCATGCTATTGGTACATCTGAATTCTGTTAAGGAACATTTTATGGCACTATTAGCCTTGAGTTGGCTTCCTTATTTGCAATATGCATTTTGCAGATTCCTGCAGGGAAGTATCTGATGGAGCTTGTTGCAGTTGATTGGTTCAAGGACACAAAAAGAATGGACCATGTTGTGAGACGTAAAGGCTGTGCAGTGCAAGTATATTGAATTACTCCTTCCCCTGTCATCTAAATGGCATATTGGTAGTACTGGTAAAAATCCTTGTCCTGGTATATGAGCTGCTCAAGTCTTGGGATGTGTGGCTAGGTTTTGAAACCTACCATTAGATGGGTCAAGAAGGTGACTGCCCAGATCAGACAGTGATCCAGTTGGTCAATCTTCTGATTCTTCTTCTCTCCAACCAATGAGATTTTAATAAATGAGTATATGGCATTAAAAAGTTAGGGAATAGAGCTCACTGTATTTAACTACTTTCTGTTCACACAATTTATTGGTGAATTTCAGCCTTTTGGGTGGCTCCACCAGCTGATATTCTTTGCCTCTTCAGGTCCTTATTTTTCTCTCCTCTAATAATACAAGGGTAGATGATATGGGTACCATGATGGTCCTAGAGTCAATCTAGGCCCAACAATAAATGACTAGCTCCTATACCTTGTCACCTTTTTTGAACTAGGTCCAATAAAATGCAGTATGGCTTAGGATGGGGCTGATCCTTCAAATTCAGTGTGGTCACCATCTCCAAGGACACAAAATACTTGCAATTCCCATTATCAAATTATACTACACAATCTGCCACCTTCTGTACAGCATATCTTGAAAATATTTCTCTGCAACTAGTCCACTTCAATCTTCTTGGGAGTGTTCAAAAATTTGACATTCTGATAATGCAAGTGCATCATGATCATCCCAAATCTCATCTTTTTCTGTTTGGTTGCTGAGTTCAGTATAAGAATTTTTTTTTTTTGCATGGATCACCATTTTAGTGGTTCTCTTCTTGCTCATCTGCAGCTAAATTCACCTGTCTAGCCTTGCATTCAGATGACATATCTCCCTCTTGCAGTCTTGCCAGCATTTATAACAAATGATACACTATTCTGTCCTCTGATTTTGTACACTGCCTCTACCAGAATTCATCCCTTGCTGTTTATAGGAACTAGAAGAAAGTTTTTGGGGTTGATTTAGCTCTCCTGACTTGGACCAGTAGATATGATCTTGATGCCTATTATTATTTAGGGGTCAACCTCCAGTCTTTTGAGTTGATTTTCCACTTCAGTCACCAATTATGTTGCACCCTCCAAAATGTCCAGACTAACTTAGCACCTTGGCAAAGAGATTGATACCAATGGAACTTAATTCACATAATTTAAATGTAGAAATTGTCTTCCATATTAATTTTAGCATCTTTTGGCCAAGTCTGAACTTTCCCTTTTTTTGGAATGTATTCGCTTCATCTAAATCTACTGCCACCATAAAGATGCATAACCCTTTACCGGGATTGCCACCAATTTGATTTTCTTGTTATCAGGAATCTGTAGGTAATAGAAAATCCTCATGATGGAATTCAGCTGATCCTAAGGATTCTGGAATCTCTACTCTTAGGTGGGGATCTATTCCTCCGCTTTGGCCCTTTTTTTTATCAATAACAGAAATCATTTTATTAATGGACAATAAAATTACAACCTTCCAGGAAGAGGTAAAGAGGCTTAACCCTCCCAAAAAAGAAAAAAGATAAGAAGATTACAATACAGCCCAAAACATCTGTTCCCTTCCCACCCCTTGTTTCGCCAATGTATCTGCAGAAGCATTTGCAGTCCTCTTCACCCATTGAAACTGAACTCCAACCTCCTAGATAGCCATTTAGCTTCCCTTCTCTAATTTGCATATTTCCACAATCCATTGTCCTTCTGTAACCAGCTTAAAACCAACTTTGAGTCTCCTTCAACAGTTAGTGTATGAATATTCAGCTCCTTTGTCTTCTTAAACCTTCCATTAAGGCACATATCTCAGCTCTGAGAGAGTCACCACTCCCAATGGCATAGTTCTCGAGGCGCCAAGGTGAGGCCAGGCAACTGGGGGGGCGCCTAGTTGCCTAGGTGATGGATTTTTTTTAAGTAAAAACATGTACCCTAGGGTAGTTCCCTAGGTTTCATGAGAAAAAAAAGAAGAAAGAAAAGAAATTTCGAAAAATGTAGGGGCTGAACCCCTATTTCTGTTATATGAAAAGAAGAAAAGAAAATTATGGTTCAGGTTTTGAAGTTTTTGAGGGTTTTGAAGAAAAAGAAGAAAAGGTGTTGATTGGACAACATTTTATGTTTTTTCTTACTTATTGGTTCAGGTTTTGAAGCCTTTGAGGGTTCAATACAGCATTTAGCAATGTTTGTGTTGATTAAACCCTAACAAATAAGAAAATGACAAAAATAAATTAGTATATAAACACACAAATTGAATATTTTAGTTTAAAATGTCTATTTTATAATTATAACCTCAAAAAATTAAGAATATAAAAGCTTGTTATAATATGCTATAGAAAACTGCTTGGCGATTAGGCGAAGCGAGACTCCAAGGGTGCCTTGACGCCTAGGCGTCACCTAGGCGCCCACCTAGGAATCGCCTTGACAACTATGCCCAATGGGGCCTGAAAACAAAGCAATCACCTTTCCATTCTCATCTCTTAACACCCCACCAACACTCAGGGGCCCAGGATTACATGGGTGCCCCTAGTTAGGCAGCTATCCCAAGGCACATAAGAAATTAAATGTTTTAGGGCCCATAAAGAAAGCCCACTACAGCAGAAATAAAGTAACTAAATAAATAAACAAAACTAAAGCCCACTCGGCCTAATCTCTCTACATGAAGCATGTGTAGGCGGAGTACTCCCAGGTTGTTATTGGATGTATGAGGGATCATTTCTATGGCTTTTGAGATTTGAGACATGATGAAGGATACAAGAACCCTGTCATCCAAAGTTAACATCTCGTTCATGTGGATTCCAAGGTCTATGAACTCTATGGCTGCCAGCTTAGCTAGAACATGTAGTTAGAACCTCTTTATATTTAGGAGCTGACATTTTGGGATGCTGTTTTTCAGTTTTCTTTTATTTTGTTCTAGGTGGCCTGGGTATTACAAGCTCCTGGTTGCTACTTGCTAGGATGTAGTATCGTGTATAATGTACTAATCTCATCTTTATATGGTCAATTACACGGAGCAGTTGTGTGATGAATGTATTTCAAAACTTCTTGGAAGAAAATATGACCATACTCATTCCCCCTCTCCTTCTGGTACCCTGAGTGACCTTTTGTTCATCAATTATCTAAAGTCAAATTCCCCCACCTATGTATAATGGGTCTTAAAGAGCACTTCTATAAGGGAAGAAAAAGAATTAAATATATGGGTCTATGCACTGATAAAAGAATGTCCATAGGTAATGGACTTGCCTAGACATATAATTCTCATTTCTCAATCTGTTGCTTGTGTAGGTTGCTTCAGAAAAGGGATTTTTCTCACTGGCCATCAATCTACAGGTAAAGGTTGATTTGGGTGTTCATTTATTATGTTAATTGATGCATTTGACGACTAAAAGGCAATATTGCATACTATCATTACAGGTGCCTGGGTCAACTCACTACAGTATGGTGTTTTATTTTGTAATAAAACAATTGGTGCCTGGATCTCTCTTGCAACGGTTTGTTGATGGTGATGATGAATTCCGTAACAGTAGGCTGAAACTCATTCCATCAGTTCCTAAGGTTTGCTTCTTAACCAAGTATAAATACTGGAAGGTATTCATCTATATATTCCAAAACTGTAGGAAGCAGTCTTCAGTCCCATTATGACTCGTGTCAGTGACTTCTGCTTGTACATGTATGAATAGCCAAAAAGTTATCATAGATGGATTATCCTTCTGGACTAATATTCAGCTATTAGAATACAAGGTAAGAGAAATAATTGTTTGACTGTATTAATGGAGGCAAAAGTTGGAAACAATGTTGTCAGTGCATTAAGGTGATGACTAATCATTTTGGCCTCCCTTGGGTGATGCAGTGACAAATTGTTGCCCAGGTGCTGAGTAGTGGACCACAATATATATGTTCTAAATTTAAAATATTGATGCAATATCATATATATAAGTTAATACAAACTACAAAGGAAGGCTAGATAAGTTGAAATAGTGAATGGCAATTATTTTTTTTCAAAGAATGACTGCAACCTTGACTATTTAATGTGGTTCCCTTGTTTGTCACAATTCTGCCAGCATACCACTGTTTGGAAGAATTAGAAGTCCACTATTGTTCTTTTATTTTACACCTTGTTTCTGTCTTATATACCACCGTCCAACCATGTACCATCAGAAATCCTTAAAGCAACTAATGTGCATATGACAAAATAAAGGCACATATGATATTATTTTAAATAAGAGATAAATTGATGTAGGACCAGCTCAGTTCTAGTCCTTAGGGAATGTTGAATGGTTTTCTTGATCAGAATTTTATGGCTGTTGATGACTGTAATGGATTCTTGAAGGAATAAGAGAGAAAATAGGGATAGAAAGAAGAGAGAAAATACCTGGAATCACTCATAGGGTGCCTAGAATCACTCTAGGGCATGGGAATCACTGACCATAGTTAGCATAAGCTGAAGAAAACGCAATATATTTCATTGCCTTTGTGTAAAACGTCCATACATATTTATACTCTAAACTCATAATAATCCTAGTAGTCAAACTGTTAGACTCATAATAGTCTTAGGAGTCAAACTGTTAGACTCATAATAGTCTTAGGAGTCAAACTGTTAGACTCAATAATCCTAGTAGGACTCTAACTACATTGTCATATTCTATTTCAATTCAAAAAAGACTCAATAACTCTAATCCTACTTATGCAATGACTCTAAAATTTTAACCATAAACAAACTATAACTAGACAATCAAACCCTATTATTGGACCCTACAGAAAAAATTATAAAATGGCAAAAATACCCTTGGTGTTCAATTCAGTCCAAATCGCAAGTACCATTACTATGCCATATCAGGATCTGTTGTAAGGCCTTCTTTCTAGAACAAGTCTTCAAGGGTGCTGATCGTTTCCTATCGTAAATAGAAGAAAATAAAATTTTACAATAACTCTGCGGTTGATCAGGTGGACTAGGCCAACTAGTGAAGTCAACCTAGTTGATCTAATTGATGCTTGTTAGTGGTGCAGTCAAGATGGCACTCAATAAACTAGTCAAAGCTTCAATATCAATGGTTGGTAGTTTGTCTATATTTGACTGTATTAAATACGACAAACCGTGCAATCTATATAAGAAAAATACTTCTATGAAGTTCAGAGTTTAAAAGCTTCTATTCATTGGGAACTTGTCATTAACATTAGAAGATGGGGCTAACATGGGAAATGGGACCTTATGTATGACAAATCCAACCCAGATGGTGCCTACCATATGAGCTGTTTCAGTTGTCCATACATTGCTGATTTAAAAGAATGAAACCTTACATGAAAAGAGAACTAACAGTTATTCATAATTATAATATCTGTACACCAGAGTATTGGAAGCATGGTTTTAGATGTGTTGCTGATTTATAAGAATGAAAACTTGCATTTGTTTGCCTGATCCTAGTTGCAAAAATCATGCAGGGCTCATGGATTGTACGACAGAGTGTTGGAAGCAGTCCTTGTTTATTAGGCAAGGCAGTTGATTGTAATTACATCCGTGGTCCCAAGTACTTAGAAGTAAATAACTCCTTTCATTGACTTTAGTTCATGATATTATATCTAGAAGTGCTTGCCTCGTAGAAGATGGAAAATGTTGCAAATTACAGAAATGATCACTTTGCAGATAGATGTTGATATTGGTTCTTCTACTGTTGCTAATGGAGTCTTGGGGCTTGTGTGTGGCGTAATCACAACTCTGGTGGTTGACATGGCTTTTCTTGTGCAGGTAAGTGTTTTTCTTTCTAATGAAAAATGGCATCTAGGGCTCTGTTATGTCTGTAAGCACTTCCTATAGCAAGCAGGTGATGCAGGGGCATCAGCTCAAAATATTTGGGCCTATGTTCAGCCCAATATCAAGGTCCAATATTGGCCCAATTTTTTTAGCCCAAGCAGTCAAAATACTTTAAAGGCATATGGTTTCATGAAAACAAGCATTGGAAAAGGAGTATGGAATATGGAGCCTTCAAATGGGAATAATGGACGTCCAACACTGGGATTTAAATAAAAAATTGGAATGATTGAATGTTGAGGTAATTAAGTCGTAGGTTTCATTAATAGGGGTTTGGAACATTCATAGAAATTTAAAAAGCATTGGTCTTCTCAAGTAAGAGTTACACATAAGAATTGTTAAATAGTGGGAATGGGTACAATTACTTCATAAGTGGTGAAAAACTACATGTCTTGGTATATTGCATATAAGTGCCAACTGCCATGGGGGATATCCATGGGAAGTATTTTTTTTCAGTTGTGTATCCTTTGCTTAGTAAAGCTTTTCATCTCTCTTTAAGCACTTTCTCTTCTATATTCCTTCGTCCAGCTGTTTGGTTTGTTATTGCAGTCCTTTTTCATCTCTCTTTGCACACCCTCAAAGTTTCCAATAACATCAATGTCCACCAGAACCAAAGGACCAGCCCCAACCTTTACTTTATCTGACCCCAAGTGGGCCCCACTCCCTTCTTCCTTTTTCGATCTCTCCCCCGAATCATTCCTCTTTTCTTTCTCAAAATCTCAAAAATCCATAGACCCAGCATATCAGCCTCACTAAAACCGAATTTTTTTTTTGTTCCCAAACTACCCTCATCTTTAACCTCTGAACCTACCTCAGAGAAAAACTTGTTCAACTTCCACCTCTTCGAACCAGTTGGAATCTGAGAATCACTTCCTCCTTCCTCAAGAAAAAGAAATCAAGCCAACCACCTGGGTATGTTCCTTCTATCACCACTCTTAAATCGAAAAGTTCTTTGCCAAAGTGAAGCAAAAAGGATGTTGGAACAAGATGAATTTCCTCCACTTCAATTAAAATACATGCGCTCACTAAATTCTTCCAATCCAGAGTTCTTGAGTCGATGAATCTAAAGATCCCACATGCATCCCCAACATCCTTGAAAGTTTGGAAACTCCAGGCATGGAGAGGGATGTCGAACATGTTAATCTAGACGAAACTTGAAGGCCCCACGTTTCTCAATGCACAAACGAGAGGATTCCATCTCCCCAACCTTAATTCTAGAACCCATACTTGATCTTGTTCATGCTCAAGGATATCCAAAGCTTCTTTCTCACTACTGAAGGAGAAAATAAAGAACCCCGCACCAAGTCTCCTCACCTGGAAATGTCTGCTTGGCTTCCATTTAGTCACCACCCAGCTCCATTCAACTTCTGGCTCAGAGTTAACTAAGCGACCAACCAAGCATTTGTTTAAAAGCTTTAGTTGATTAGGGTTCCTTCAATTGAACTTGTTACCACCTCTTTCTTGTGGTTCTCCACAAAACAGAAGTTTCGTTAAATCTCTAACCCACATCCTCCTTTTGCAACCAGCTTGTCACTAATTTTGAGTCACTCCAAGGGTTTTATTTGAATCCTTTTCTGCAAAAATATTACGACTTGTGTTTGAATCCTACAATTTGATTCATAAATCTTATTATACAATTCTTTTAGTTCACTCTGGTTAAAATAAATTTAATTAAGAATTAATTTTCTTCTTTGTCATTTTTTTATATTTAGTTTTATCAAGGGAAACTTGTTTAAATCCCTTACTAAAATTTATTTGCTTACATCATATGTAAGTTAAAGAATCATTGTATGTGAATTATTTGACTTTCAAGTCAAACTTGATTATATCATCTTAGGCTTTTATTATACAAGTGGTAAATGCTATTGTTTTAGGTACATATATGGTAGATATGGATTAAAAATAAGGTAAAATCACTTGCTATTTAGGATTTTAGTATATCTATAGTTTTTGACAAGTTTGTAAAAAATAGAAATAATCATACGACTTATGATATGATTCACGATCCAATTTGATTCAACTTTCTTTATGATTTACTATACGATTACAATTTTTAGAACATGTAAAGAGACATTGCTCTACTAATTGCATTTCACATTATTTTTCTTATTAGTCTCCCATAGTCACAAAGAATGATCTTGCAAATACTGACAGGCTGAAGCAATTATTGCATCAAGAGTTTAAGATTAAGCACCTAGGTGAGCTTCAATACTTTAAAGTTGCTAGATCAAAGCATAGGATTTTTGTTTCCCAATGGAAGCATGTTCTTGGCCTTCTAAGGGAGACTGGTAAGTTGGGTGCTAGATGATACACCTATTTATTAAAATTGTATGATCAATTTGGAAATCTAAGGCATATGTGAGTGGAGGCTTTGCAGAGTGGGGAGGTTCTTTAGGTGATAGGCACTCTACATTAAGTTTCTATACTGTTGTTAGTGATAATTTAGTATCTTAAAAGTGGGAAATAATCAATAGTGACTCATTCTAGTCCTGAAGCCAAGTACAGATCTATGGTCCATGAGGTGTTAAAGTTTCTATGGCTTCAATCCTTACAGAGAAAACTTGGAATTTAGGTGGAATAGCCCTTGTTGTTGTATTGTCACAATCATTTTTTTTTTTTTTGATCAATAACACTTTCATTAATTCATCGGTAGAAAATTTACAAGTGGAAGACAAACACACTTATCTTCCAAGAGTCACAAAGAACTTCAAGAAATGAAAAAAGAAAATACAAAGATACAAAGACACTAACGTTACATCTTAGCCCAAAACAAAGAATCCCTTTCTGCCCCTTGTTTTGCTAAACCGTCAGCTAGGGAATTAGCTGATATTTTAATCCAACATGTCTTAACTTCCATCTCCCGCACCAGCCATTTGAATTTCCTCTTCTCATTATTATACTTCCATAAATCACAATCATCTCGCCTTTAATATAGCACACAATCTTGTCCAACATGATAGGATTAAGCATATTGAGGTTGACAAGCACTTTATTAGGGAAAGGTGTCTTTGGCTAATATTTTTACCAAAGGAGTTACTAAAAATAAGCTGGAGTATGACTTGATTAAGTTGGGAGTGATCAACATATTCTCCCAACTCGAGGGGGAGTATTGAAAGTCTTTTTGTTGCGGAAAACCCAAGAAAAACATATTCGAATGGCACCCAAAAATCAAAGAAAAACAAAGATAAAGAGAAGCAAGCAAAGAGATCACACAGATTTACGTGGTTTGGCTTATAGCCTACGTCCATGGGCGTAGGAGGAGCTGAAATCCACTATGTAGTCAGCAATGGAGAAGAAATAGAGGTGTGCACTCACAACCTCGCTCACAGAAAACCCTAAACCCCAACTACACCCAATGTCTCACACTTCTCTTACAAGACAAGGACTAAGTATACATGAGAGAAAACCCCCAAAATACATAACTGTTCGTATTCGGTTCGGACCCATAAGTTGAATATGGATCGGGTCAGTTCCATGCTTCCACCACAAACCACTATGAAATTTTGCCTTCAGGTTTTCTCAAATTAATCCAGAGCAGATTCATGAAGTGGGTCGCCACAAACAATTCAAGGCACAAACATAACACTTTTCCTTCTTTGCTTCCTGCTCTCTCTTGCTTTCTCAAATTTCTGCTATTTTTCCTATTCTTTTGTTGATTTACAAAACCTAGAACAAGCTAAAGAAAAAATCCAAATTCATTTGTTTGCTTAATCCATTACATATTTAGACTTGAAAGAGATCAGTTTCCTAGGTTAACAATGGATATGGCACTGAACAGAATAGAACAGAACGGGACAAGGATTATATGATGGTGAAGATGACTTTTAAGAAAACTATTTAGATATCTAAAGAAAACCTTTATTAAACCAGAAGTCTGAAACTGATATTCGATCACAAAGTGATGTATTTTCAGTGATTTGGCAATATCTTCCAAATCAGATCAGAACCACCAGGTCTTGGTCTCACTTTGGCTCACTAAATAGGGGAATGAAAATCATTGTCATGACCCCCAAGTTTGAGTTGTAAAGGCACATCTAAGTAATCTTCCTAAAGTAATTAAAATTGAAATCTAATAAGCTGTGACTACTTATTAAACATGAAGGAAAATATTTTATCCACATACCTTTGTTACCATTACATGGATGTTATGGAAGGAGATAGAAGGCCATTACCCAATGTTGGTCCTAGCTATCTGGGGTCTTGGGAGGGGTAGACTGCGTACAGCCCTAACCTTTGGCATGTTTTGCATGAAGTGGCTACCCTCAGACTTAAACGTTCATTCTCATGCTTGCTAGCCTGAGATTTTACCATTACACCAATTAATGGTCCCTGTGTTATGGAAGGAGATAATACTTCCAATTGCACCTGGAATGAATGTCTCTATAGACTTCTGAGGATACTACTTGCCTTTTTTGGGTATAGATCTTTCAATGGGCCAGATTTGAAGAAGCATATCCAAAAATGAGTACCAGAAATCCATATGCTGAGATGGATGAGTGGAAGAACTAGGAAGGAAAGGGTCAGAAGTAGTAAGAAACAATTTAAACGTTCAAAATTTAATAATGGATATGTCACTAAACAGAATGGAATGGAAAAACAGGATTCAAACAGTTAGACAAGGCTTAGATGATGATGAAGATGATCTTTCAACGAGCCAGATCTCCCTCATGATAATGCCATAATATTCTGGTGAACTTGTCTCCCCCCACCCCCCAACTAGATGATTACATGTGTACATTTACAACTGGCATGCATGATTTGGACATCACCCTCCCCTCCCCCGAAATGTGTTAATTGGGGTTGATTTCTATCTTACACAAATTTTCCTTTAATGGAGGTTTTTCATGATTTATTTTGCTTCCAAAAGGCTGTAACATTTGTTCCTTGTTACAGGGAAACACTGCAGATGAGTTGCCAGAACGACTTATTGGTGCTATACGTGTCTCACATGTTGAGCTGTCATCTGCCATAGTGCCAATACTAGAATCCAACCCGGCGGCCGAGTGAAACAGTGACCCTCCTGCTTTATGTGCAGTAAATTTTTCCTACTCGTTTCTCTGTGAATTCCCAAAGTAATTGATGCATTTGAACTGCATGACTTATTATATATTGATAGTCCAGTACAAATCCAATCCACCAACTTTTTTTCTGTATAGGAAAACCACCTGCATCAGATCGGATGAACCGGACTATGCTGTAGTGTAGAGCCCATTCACCTGCTGCATTTGGGAGGTGCCTCAAACAACCAGGTGCAGGTAGATTGACCCAATGAAGATTACAAATGTATGTATATTTGAAATTCTCACCAGACGGAAGAATTACAAAGTAGCATCAGTTCTTTTCCTTGTTCTTTCAGTTTGTTTCCTTTTTCTTTTCTTTTCCCCTTGCTTTATTTTGCATTGTCTCGCTAAGCATTTTTTAGTTTTTTTTTTTGGAAGATAAGCAAATATATATATTAGATAAGAGAAAGATGTACAAAGTTGTCAACTCTTGGAACCCCATCAGTATAATCATAATATTCAAAAAAAGATAAAGGATGAGTTTTAGCCTGCTAGAAGACCTTATGAGCTGGTACATTAAACATTCTATTTACAAAACGAAAAGTAATATTAAGGTTTAAAACAGAAATTAAGTTTCTGGTTCTCATCAAAAACCAGTGGCAGAACCAAGAGTAGACATCTTCTGTAAAGCTTGGACTATCTGCTTCGCATCCGAACACATATATACTTCTTTTTTACTCCAATGTTGTAATTCTATCATCACCTGCATAATGGCATATAGTTCTGCTTGGTCAGTAGAAGTAGGATGTGATGTTCTTCCCCCGATAACTTTCATACAGTTTAAATTTGTATTTACTATTATAATACCAAAACTGTACAAGGAGTCCGAAAATTTCCCTGCATCAGTAAAAACAATCAGCTCAGTAGTGTTAGAAATAGACAATTGCATTCTTTGACTTCCAGAAAGGGATTAATGTAAATTTGATTGAGGCCTTGATTCCATGTATTGTTGGAAGATTTTATTAACAATGGAAATAATCTGAAAAGGTAAGATTTGCTTTTTCCTGAAAATTTTCTCATTCCTGGCATACCAGAGGGATTGTTGGAAGATTTTATTAACGTTTCTTTGTGGAATTCTCTTCTCGAAAATTGATGCACTCAAGGAACGTGAACCCATGCAACACATCCAGGATGAAGGCACAAAAGTACAAAACCCTAGGCAGATTATTTCTAGGGTGACAAACAGATCTGATCTATCCCGATAAACTTAAAATGGATAGGTCCAAATTTGATTCATTATTAGACCTGGATTCAGATGTAATACCCAAAACAAAATATACATTTATTGTACTCTCTTAAAAAATAAATTAAAAATTATCAAAATGTTCATATATATTATTGTAGAGGCATGTGTTGTGCGCATGTGCAACTAAGTCAAATCAAAAATCTTTTTGGTATTAATTGTCTCCCATAAAATCCACCTTTGCTCTAATAACTACCCTCTTAATTGTTTCAAATAATCATAAATCTCTCTCTCTCTCTCTCTCTCTCTCTCTCTCTCTCTCCATTATCAATGTTTGTAATATTTCCTATTAAATCTCTCTCGATCCTTTTTGGTTCTATTAGTAAATGTGCACATGCTTTGCATGTGACAATTTTTTATGATGATGATGATAATAATAAATAATAGGGTTGGACTATGATATCGGAAATACATGATATTTGAAAGACTTGTGGCCAATCAACTAGTATCATAAAAGAGGCGATCAATCAAATGATATTCATCAAAATTCATGGGAGGGCTTTGATTGGTCAAAGCTCTTCTAATGCCACATCTTCTAGTATCATAAATTTCCCTAAATAATGTTTCCAAAATTTCTACTTTTTTCTATGTCTCTATGTCCATAAAAATTATTTTTATCTGCCACACTTGTTATGATGAATATATGATATTAAAAATGTCTTCAAATGATTTATTACAATTTTTTTTGTATTTTTTTAACTTTTGTGTGTTTTCATCTTTTTAAATTTTTAATTATTGTTTAACTATGGCATCAAGGGTTTACACATTTTGACCTAAAAGATTGAATTGTTTATTTGCCATCGAATAGAAAAACAATTCTATTTTTTAGTTGGTTTTAAATTTGTATTTTATTAAAATCATCAATAAAATTAATTATTCTTTATCACACATATTGTTCTTTAATACAGGTAATTAATATAGTATTCAATGAAAAAATGAAAGGTAATACCCTAAATATAAGACTTCATAAGAATGAATTGAATGAAGAGAAATGTAAAAGTTCAAATTACATTTTATGCCTTCACAATTAAAGAGGAACCAAATTCAAAAATAAGGGTATTTTTATCAATAATAGGATTCATGAATGTTAATGATGTTCACACCATAAATATAAAATTTAATGAGAAGAAAAATAATTATTTAAATTATATTTCTATCTTTACAATTATTCAAAATTTGGGGCATTTTAATCGAACAAAAGTTTGATACTCTCATTTACACTTCTAATAATAGGATAAATACAGGCCCTATCATGGATGTAAGTGATGTTAAAGCCCAAACAGGGGTGCAACTAGGGGTCATGATGGGATGGGTGTTTGATAAATTTTTAATGGGTCTAGACCCCATCCCTTGACCCAAAACCTAATTAATTTTTTTAACCTCATGCATTGTATGTGTTTAATTTCTAATATATAGTAACAAAGGGACACATGGCTAGGCTGAGTTTTAGAGAAATGGAATCGCATAGTAATTCAGTTTTATATGTATCAATAATTACCTAATTAAAAAATAAAGCATTCATGTTGTAGTAAATGAACTTAAATTTTTCAACAAGAACATCTCCGGCCATGCTGCTTAGAGTTATTATTTTTTCATTTTTTTTTTTTGCTAAATAAAAGAGGTCATATCATAACCTCTGACAAATTGTCAAATAAAAAATCACGATATATCAATTGTCAAATAAAAAGTAAAACATTTATGTTGTAGAAGGCATCTGCGGCCATACTGCTTAGAGTTATTATTTTTTTTTCTTTTTATCTAAATAAAAGAGGTCATATCATAACCTCTCACAAATAGTCAAATAAAAAATCATGATATATCAATTTTTTTGGTAATTCCAAGATACACAAAAAGAACACAAAAAACAACTGCAACTAAGAAACTGAACCAAAGGAAACCACATCAGGGACAAAATCTAAATCTGGAAGAAGCCATCCAGGAAGGGACAAAATCTAAATCTGGAAGAAACCATCCAGGAGGGGAAGTCCATTCAGCTTCCAATCCTGCCTTACCTTTAGCAGGAAGGGACAAAATCTAAATCTGGAAGAAGCCATACAAAAAACACATGAGCTGCATTAACTCTGCTGCGATCCACATGATTGAACACCACATTTGGTCCTGCAAGGCTGTAAATATCCTGTAACAATGGCTAAGCCTCCAAAGCAAAACAAAAGGACTTAACTAAAAGATTCTTTACTACATTCACAGCATCACATTCAACTTTAACAAACATCAAACCCAGGGTTTTCGCTGCTAAACAGCATTCCCTAATTGCAAAAAGTTCTGCAAATTCAGCTGAAACAGCCTTGCATCTTCCACAAGAGGCTAACAAAACTGACCCAGAACTGGACCTTAAAACAAAACCAAAACCACTTGAGTTCTCTGAAAAGCTACCATCAGTTGTTGCCACACAAAAACCTTCAAAACTTGACCTCTCTAGGAAGCACTCCTTGCTTGAAGAAGAATCAGATATGGAATAGTTTGTTGATTCTCGAAGGAAAGTTTTCTTCACTGCCACCATCAATCTAGATGAAAAAAGTGAAGAAATAGTTGGGCTAGGATTTTCGCCATTAAACACCAAATTATTTCTAGCTTTCCAAATGAACCAAATTAAGAAAACTGAAGATTCTATAACTTGCAATCCTCTCTCCCCAAAGGGAAGATTCTGGGCCAGCCACCAAGACCACCATTCTACAAAAGAGCTCCAAGTCCTCTCACCCAAGGATGAGAGATTAAAGTTACTGACAAACCAGGAAGCTCTAGTATCATCACAGAATAATAAAGCATGAATAATGGATTCAGGTTTAGATCCACACACTGGGCACAAATCATTTTCCTCTAAACCTCTTCTCAAAAGGGCCTTCTTAACAGCTAAACTATTCTAACAGCATCTCCACAAAAAGAGTTTCAATTTTGGGGGGATCTTTAACCTCCAAGTTATTTTCCATAGGTTTGGTGACAAAGACCCTTGAACAGGTTCTGCCTCTACAGAGCACAACATATTCCTCGCTACATGGTATGCAGATTTAACTGAGAAAAGACCCTTAGGATCAGCCACCCAAATTAGTTTGTTTACACCACCTGATCTGAGCAGGTCTAAGGAGCAAATAAGAAAAGATGTTCTTGAGCCAAAAAAACTTGGCCACTCTATCTTCATCCCAACTATTAGTCTGAGGGTCTATTAAGTCACACACACAATTAACTTGGGTTGGATTTGGACGGGGCCCCATTGGCCTAAATCCTGAAAGGCCCAGGACCCAAGGATCATCCCATATATTTATATTAACCCTATCACCCACACTCCAACAAGCTTTCTCTCTTAACACATCCCTCCCAGCCAGAAGGCTCCGAAAGCCCCATGAACAATTTGACGGAAGCTTAACTGCCCAAAAGTTTTTCCTCTTCAGGTAATTTCCTTCAATCAACTGTTTCCATAGGCTCTCATCAAGAGAATAGAATCTCCAGTCCAGCTTTGCAAGAAGGGCCAAATTAAAAGCTTGGGGATCTCTAAACCCACGACCCCCATGAAACTTACTTCTGCAAGCCTTCCCCCAATTCACCCAATTAATTTTCTTTTCAGAATTCTGTTCTCCCCAGAAGAATCATCTTTAAATCTTTGCCAGCTTTTGGCAGACTCCTTTAGGAATAAAAAAACATGACATTGAGTATACCATCATGGAGCTTAACACAGATTTTATCAACACTTCCTTTCCTGTATGAGAAAGAAAAGAAGCTTTCCAGTTGTTTTCTTTTAAATTCATCCTTTCATTCAAGAAATTAAACAGCCTTACTTTGGATCTCCCCATGTCCGATGGAAGCCCTAAATAGTTTGAAGGCTTGCTGGTTTTCTTAATGTCCATTACCCTTGAAATGATTTTTTGACATTTTGAATGCAGGTTTGGACTAAAGATAATTTCCGATTTCTGAAGATTTACTCTGTCCAAAGGTTTCCTCATACTTCTTCAAGGTTTCCACTATCAAGCCTCCCTCTGCAATACTTGCTTTTGAGAAAAATAAAGATCCGTCTGCAAAGAACAGATGAGTGATGGCAGGGCAATGTCTACTTATTCTGATACCTTAGAGCTCACCTGAAGATTGCAACCTCTGGAAGGCAAGAGACAAAACTTCTGAACAAAGGAGGAACAAGGAGACAAGGGTCTCCCTACCTTAGCCCCCTAGAAGGGAAGAACCTTTTGCTAGGATTCC